CTGTCAATGGTGACCAACAGTCCTTAGGCCAGAGGAGGGGGATGCCCCAGGAGCAAGGCCATGTGTGGACTGCACAGTGGGACATGCCTCACAGGGTCCCCGACGTGCCCAGAGGACTGTGCTGCCTGCTTTCCATCCTTCCCGCCCTGGCCCACAGACAGATAGACAAGGGAAGTGTCCGGCCACTGTGGGATGCCCTCATGGGCATCAGGAGCTAGGAGCAGCCTGGGCTTCCCTGGGGGCCGCACACACAGGTGTGGCTCGCTGTGCTGTCTGTGGGAGCATCTGCTGCCTCGCACGTGCAGATATGCCCGTGTGTTCGGTGCGGCACTCCTCGGTCTGCGTGGGGTCGTGCCTTAGCCCTTCTGGCTAACCTGCTTCCAGGCGTGGCACCCTCCCCCCCGCCCCTCCTCCGTGGCAGGATGTGTGTGGTCTCCCCTGAGCCCAGCAGCAGGATCCTACCTGTGCTCAGCGAACCTGCTGCCGGGCGTGGCCCCCTCCCCCCCGCCCCTCCTCCGTGGCAGGATGTGTGTGGTCTCCCCTGAGCCCAGCAGCAGGATCCTACCTGTGCTCAGGGGCTGCTGGCTGCAGCTGCATGCCACCCAGTAATGCAGCACGTGGTTGCATGGAGACGGACCACAGCATGGCATCCAGCCCAAGAGACACTAACCCCCATCCCCTGAATGCCTGCCTCCCCTGCCCTGCATGTGTGACAAAGTGAGACCACTCATCTGAAGATCCCTCCCCAAAAGGGAGAGGGTCACGCTACCCGTCTTCTCCTCCTCCGCCGTCACGGCCAGCTGGCTCTGGCCCTCCCGCTCCTCCTCCGGGGAGACCTCCGGCTGGGTGATCTCGAGGCTGGAGTCGACGCAGATGGGTGGGGAAGATGTTTCCCCACCCCCAAGGATCTCCTGGAGCTCTTTGTAGTAGGGGCAAGTGTGGGGTCCTGCCCCTGAGCACGAGCTGCGCTCTCTGGCCTGGACATATCCCTGATGGAGCTCTTTGACTTTACTCCAGACCTGTTCCAAAGATATTTGGAAATAACCGGCGTGCCATCAAGGCACGGAATATGTTATTTCAGGAGACCGGAAGTATCCCGAAATAGCACCGCAGTGTATCATAGAATCATAGAATAATAGGACTGGAAGGGACCTCAAGAGGTCATCGAGTCCAGCCCCCCGCCCTCAAGGCAGGACCAAGCTCCGTCTACACCATCCCTGACAGATGTCTATCTAACCTGTTCTTAAATATCTCCAGAGAGGGAGATTCCACCACCTCCCTTGGCAATTTATTCCAATATTTGACCACCCTGACAGATGTAGATGAACCTAAGGGGGCCAACCCTTCGCATGCATACCTTTTGGAGCCCAAATTATGACTCTAGTTTCCTGTGATGGAAGCGTGGCGGGGGGAAGAAGGGTAACGCCTGCAAAAGATCCAGGTGGAGCCATTTTTTCCTGTTAGCACCTGATTCTCAACCTCTTTGGAAAAACCACCCTTCTGAAATGGGCTGGGGAACAGCTTTGGGAAAGTCCGTGGCTGGTCCCTCAGAAAACGTGGGATACCGTGGGAGATGAACCGCAGTTCATTTTGGCCCTTGGGCGAGGTGACGCAATCACACAGTGAGCAGAGAAATCCCACAGCACTAGGTCAGATGGAGGTCAGCATACCGCCTGCGCGCCCTCAGGTTCCGAAAGATCAACCCAATATCCCCGGTGTTGCTCAACTTAGTCACGGACGTCATCTTTGTGGTCGTTTCTTTTTTCTGAAAAATTAAAAAAAAAAAGGTGCATGTTTTATTGCAATGATTGTACCGGGCAGAGGGCTGGGAGATGGTGGGCTCAGAGCAAGGGACTGAGAGTGGGGCGTATTTCAGGGAAGGGGAGGAGGGGGAGGGCTTCCAGGCAGAGGGTTGAATGTGTGTTTGGGGCTCCGGGCAAGGGATGGGAAGTTCAGGGCATGGGGAGGGAGGTGGAGTGACTCAAGGCTAGGGGTGGGGGTGCAGGAGTCAGGGTGGGGGTGGAAGGTGCAAGACTCAGGGCAGGGAACTGGGAGGAGCTTACCTGGGCCACCTGTGGTACCGAGGGTGGAACTGCTCCATGGCTGTTCCCTCTAGGTGGCTGGGGCTACACTCCCTAGCTGGCAGCTCCTCCCAGAACCTGGCCTCCAGCTTGTCTGGGCGGGGGGTTGAGAACCACTGGACTAAGGTAAAAATCCAAACACAAGTGGTCACCTCTCCCCGGCCCCCATCTCTGCTACATGCAACAAGGACACTGAAGATAAGACTGAAGACTCCAAAGAAGACACAGGCCCAGGTTTCAGGAAGGGGCGAAGCCTGTGTACGTTCAACTGCTATATCCACTGGGGTGAGAAAAACCTGCTTCATGTAGCTGTTTCCCAGTATAATAGGGCTGAGGGTTTATACGGCATGGTTGTATATATATATGTTTTTGTTTTTGGTAACTAATTCTGTTTGCCTATCACTTAATATCACTTTAAATGTATCTTCAGTCAACACTACACTTGTTCAAGTGTTTAATCTCACCCGTGAGTTTACCTAAAGGGCTCGGTCCATTTGTTTAGGGGGGTTCCAAAGACAGGTCCATCTCCATGGTCCATTGATGAAAAGGTGAACCAATTAATAAATTAGGTGGTAAACGAATGAGGCATGAGGTCTGGTGCTGTGGGGACTTTACTGGCGCATTGCTTGGAGAAATTCCTGAGTTTCTGGGAGCTGGGTGTGGGATCCTACATGCGGTTGTGTTGAACAATCACAGCAGCTGGAGGGATTTGCTGCTTGTTACTAGCCAGGCATTGGGAGAAATAGCTCAGGTTGGAGATTTTAGGGGACACACCATTCCCATAGTCCCAGACTTCACTGTCAGGATCGCTTACCCAAGGCAGAGAGCAGATGAACTCTTAGAACAGTTTCATGTGCCAAACGGTTATGCATGTTAGACCTCACAACGGGAAATGGACTAACACCTTTGGTGCCCAAATCATGAGAGGAGAGAGCCCTTTCCATGCCACTTGGCTTATATAACTTCAGGGGCACAGCCTTTGGCCCCCACAGAGCAACAATGGCGTGTTAGAGGCCAATGACAGGGATTTGGACTTATTTTGTCTACAGAAGAGAAGAGTGAGGGGGGATTTGGTAGCAGCTTGCAACTTGCTGAAGGGGGGTTCCAAAGAGGATGGAGAGAGGCTGTTGTCAGTGGTGATAGATGGCAGAAAGGGGAATAATTGTTTCAAGTTACAGTGGGGGAGCTCTAGGCTGGATATTAGGACAAACTATTTCCCTAGGAAGGTGGTGAAGCACTGGGATGGGTTCCCTAGGGAGGGGTGGAATCTCCATCCCTAGAGGTTTTTAAGTCTGGGCTTCACAAAGCCCTGGCTGGGTTGATTTAGTTGGGGTTGGTCCTGCTTTGGGCAAGGGGATGGACTCGACCTCCTGTGGTCTCTTCCAGCCCTGGGATTCTATGATTCCAGCTGCATGGGCAGTGTATAGTTCTATGCTGCTAAGATACATTGAAGCAGGTTTTCGGTTCTGTGTCTTATGGCAGCATTGCCACACACAGTGCCAAGAGCAATACGTTACAGACAGAAAAAGGAAAAGCCCTCGTCAATTTGTTGGCTGACCAGTCCTCAAGACTCAGTGGGTATGTCTACACTACCCCGCTAGTTCGAACTAGCGGGGTAATGTAGGCATACCGCACTTGCAAATGAAGCCCAGGATTTGAATTTCCCGGGCTTCATTTGCATAAGCCGGGCGCCACCATTTTTAAATCCCGGCTAGTTTGAACCCCGTGCCGCACAGCTACACACGGCATCGAGTAGCTAGTTCGGATTAGGCTTCCTAATCCGAACTAGCTGTACTCCTCATTCCACGAGGCACGGGGTTCGAACTAGCCGGGATTTAAAAATGGCGGCGCCCGGCTTATGCAAATGAAGCCCGGGAAATTCAAATCCCGGGCTTCATTTGCAAGTGCGGTATGCCTACATTACCCTCCTAGTTCGAATTAGGAGGGTAGTGTAGACATACCCAGTTTGACCCAAGCATCTGAACCCCTGGTGTTGGCAAATCATTTCTTCCCCTCCAGGGGAGGCTCTCAAGCAGAAGTTCTCCAGGGTCTATTTTCTGCTCTTCCCACTGCTCATGGAGTGCCGGGAATTGTCGTGGAGTCCTGCCAACCTGGGAGTCCACAGAGACTCTTCAGGGAAAAAACAAAACTCACTTTCCAGCACGCCGAGTGTCAGATGCGTGAGATTCATACACTGAGTCTCGGCGCTCCACCTCTCCGTCACAACAAGGAGATTTCTTCTCTCCGCTGTGTGGTATTCCGGTGAGTTGCCCATTTCATCATTAACATGAGGGCTCGGGAAGAGTTCCAGGGTGTAAGTCAAAACCCACCTTGGCTGGAATTCACCAGCATGGTGACTGGAATTGTTTGGTATCGCTGGAAACACCACAGGATGGACCCAGTGAAACTGGCACAACAAAAGGACTGAAAACACTTCAGACAAATATTTGTTTAAAAGCTCAGTTCCTTGTCTCTTACTGTGCCCTTCTGTAAGTCTTAATAGCTTCCTTGTTTTGGTCTGTGTGGGATGCTCCTGTGGTTCCTTCATGCTTTCCAAGGCAGCAATTTCATTGCCCCGTGAGAGGGTGCTGACAAAGCCTCTGGCATCTGTGTTGCACGGGGAGAGGGGAGAAGGCAGATTCTGCTCTCACGGTCTGCGTTCAGGTGGTCACGCCAAATTGATAGTGGCCTCCCTGAGAGAAAAATGAGAGCCCCCGTGTTTTGAAATTCCCAGTTTTATATCCAGTCACTGAATGCTGACTAAACCCTTTCAGCCCCTTAACAGAATAGTGCTCTCTGTACCAGGACCCAAAGCCGTGATTTTCACAGCTTGGACCTGAAAGTTAAACACGAAGGGATCGTCCTATATCCACATGTAGGGACTTCAATAAATTGCCTGATTTACATCAAACATGATCCTCTGTTGACTTCTGCAGGAGTCATCCTCTGGCCTCTAAGGAGGGGTCAGCTTGTTTGGAGCAAAGAAGAACTGAGAGGAGAGTTCCAGAAATTTCCAACACGCAGGCTCAGAGGTACAAACAATCAGGATAACAATCTTTTTGCGAGGGGGAGAGTGGTCTGTTCTCTCTGTGCCGCTGTATCTCTGGGTCTGGAGAGTGAGAGAAGCACCCAACAAAAACAAAAACCCACATTTTTTTTCAGAGAGGGAGAAAAATCAGGATAACAATCTTTTTTGTGAGGTGGGGAGTGGTGTGTACTCTCTGTGCCCCTGCATCTCTGGATGTGGAGAGGATGAGAAGCACCAGAGGCAGTAAAAACAAAAAGAACTGTTTCTGGCTTAGAGGAAACCAGGCAGTGTTAGAAATCACAATGGGAGGTCCAGAAACACACGGTGCATGTGTGTGTCGGGGTGGTGGAGGTGGCACAGGACGGTGGAATATACAACATCCAGATCATGGTAGCACAGTGCCCTGAAACGTGGTGAAATAAGAATGGACAGCCCACTTAATACAGAGAAAAAAGAGACCGCGCGTGTCCGACTGTAACGTAACCCGGACCACGTCAGCAATGGCCAACATGCAGAAGCAGCTTCCGGAAGGTTGGTCTGGTTTTCTAAGGGGCTGCATGGCATTAAAACTTAGGAGAGTTATTCGCACTGGCTGCCTTCACTTTCCACATCCTCGCTTCCTCCAGCTGGGCCTGTCCCTCTCTCCTTCCCTGCACAGGCTGAGCTGCTGTTGGGGTTCCCTTCACCCCCACACAGGCAGCTCAGGCTGGTCTCCCCAGCTGGTCTAGGCTGGTCTCCCCCTTTTCTCCGGTGCAGGTAGACACTGCATTGAATGTAGTCTGAGGAGGTATTTCTGTGAGCTGTTGTTTTGGCTTCTGGCACCAGGTTTTGGTCTTGGGTGAAGGATATCACGGAGTGGCAGGGGGATGTACACAGAGAAGTAGAAGGTACCAGGGATTAAAGTAGCAGTGGGATGTACACAGAGAAGCAGGAGGCTCTGGGGATTAAAGGAGCAGGCAGTGGGGTGTTCACAGAGAAGCAGGCAGTGCCTGCTTTAAGGCACCAGTGAAAATTACAGAAGTTATATAACTTCTCTTCCTCTCCTTGACATTCCCCTGGTTGTCGTCCCTGGATCAAATGGGTTCCTTTAAACACAGGGTCAGACAGGGAATGCAGGTACAGCTAATTAATCCTTTAGACCAGTGTTTCTCAACCAGTGGTATGAGTATCCTTAGGGATACTCATGAGAAGTCTGAGGAGTACGTCATCACAACTGAAATTTGGAGAAAACTGATTTTTTTTAAGTTTTACAGCACTTTATTATATTTGTACTTTTTACACCCAAAAATGTCATCGCCCACTTGACTATGATTAAGTAGTTTAAACAAATGTGTTGCAATGGTAGAAAAAAAATTGTGTGTCTGAAAACTAGGTACTGGGGGTACTTATAACTTTTTTTTAAAAAGGGGCACTTTATAAAAAACGGTTGACAAACACTGCTTTAGATCCCTACATTTTGTTTAGAGTCTCTGTGCTTGCAATGAGAGTTTCCCATTGCTGAAACATCACCTACAGTCTTTGATGCAGACGTCTGTTTAGCTAGATTGGAACACACATTCTTTCCATCAACCCAGTTTACCAACTAGCCCAGATTGCTCTGAATCAGTGACCTGCCCTCTCCATTATTTATACTCCCCTAATTTTTGTGCCACCTGTAAATGTCAGGCAGGTCAACACAGTTGAGTTGCTGACTCATATCTCAGCTTACACTTGTCATTTAACAAGAATTAACTTTAAAAAGAACCGGAATTGTGTTGTGGTCCTATGGTCCATGTGTCCACTCTCTGAAGAGGATGGTCTCGGGTACAGCGGAAGAAGGTTTAAGAGACTTTCCATTGGGTACATGGCCATGCTGACTTGACTGTCAGAAGGCTATCATTCTCATCTAGAGGTTGGCTTTTGTCCTGAAAAATGTGAGTGTACAGGGCTTCAAAAATACTTACTTAGCTTTAATCTTTTAACTGGATCGTCTCACTACCCATGTGATTCTCCAAAGCCGTCATGATATTTGCTTAAACACTATCTCAAATATTTCTTGAGCAAATATTTCCTCCGCTTTACAAGATACTGAGGGAAGAAAGCATTTTTAATTTTTATTTTATTCTTATCCTCATGATTTGGTGTTATCAGAAGGGAGAACACGTTCTTGATCTACTCCTTACAAGTCAGTACTACATAAATTTTTCCCGTATGGTCTCTTATTCATTACCTTCGTAAGGTAACCACACCAGTCTTGGAAACCTCTCCCCATGGGAGTTTCCTGGGCTTGTGGTTCCTTCTCGTTCTCCTTCCCTGAACCCCTCTAGTTCTGCAATACCCTGGGTGATATGGAAGACCAGTGTTACACGGAGGAGACCTCTCCTTCCCTGAACCCCTCTAGTTCTGCAATACCCTGAGTGATATGGGAGACCAGTGTTACATGGAGGAGACGAGAGAAGGGTGAAACATTAATTCCTGATTCCAAGACATCATGTTAGGTGTAGAATACTCCATCTCACTCCTGCCACGTCCAGAAGTTTTGCTCTGTTTCCATCGCGGCTTGCTCTGTGAGCAAATTTTCTCAGAGCTGTGTACAGCCATGCTCCTGTGCATGGCTTGCTCTGTGAGCAAATTTTCTCAGAACTGTGTACAGCCATGCTCCTGTGCTGAGTTTGTACATTTCAGTTAGTATCTTGTAAGGTAAAATGGGCAAGACGCTGCAGTTTCTAAGGTCAATGTTCATCTACCATCATGTTGCCAATTCATCCGTCTTTTTTAGCTCCCTCTGAGGACTTCTCAGGACTATGACCTACATAATCTGATGTCACCTGTAAACGTTACCACCTCTCTGCTCACCTTCCTTTCTAGATGGTTAATAATTATAAAATATGTACAGTGCTATTAGTTATAAAGCACATAACCCGCTCCCTTGCTGTGCTTCTGTCCCTTCACAGGCACCTTGAACATTTCTGAGCCCCGTGGACCACCTCATGGAGGATTTCAACCTCACCCCCTCCGAACCTTCAACATTTCTCCTCATGGGAATTCCAGGGCTGGAAGCTGCTCACATCTGGATTTCCATCCCTTTCTCAACGTTCTACATTATCAGCCTCTTGGGAAATTTCATGGTTCTGTTTGTTGTCGTCAAAGAGCAGACCCTGCAGAAGCCGATGTACCTGCTGCTCTGCAACCTGGCGCTCACCGACATCGGCACCTCTACCTCTGTTGTACCAAAGGCCCTGTGTATATTTTGGTTCAATTTGAAAAGCATCACGGTGGGTGGCTGCCTCACCCAGATGTTCTTCCTTCATGCGGTTTCCATGATGCACTCAGGTGTCCTCGTGACCATGGCCTTTGATCGCTACGTCGCCATATGTAACCCTCTGAGATACGCCACCACTCTCACCAATGCACTAATAGCTAAGATAGGACTAGTGGGTTTGATAAGAGCTGTAACCTTAATTCTGCCCATGCCTGTGCTCCTGAGGAGGTCGTCGTTCTGTGCCAACCGCATTATCCCCCACACATACTGCGACCACATGGCTATACTGAAGATGTCATGTGAGGACATTACAGTGAACAGGACATATGGCTTGGTGGTAGCCTGTGTGGTAATTGGGTTAGACCTGATGCTCATTGCTGTGTCCTACGGTCAGATCCTCAGGGCCGTCCTCAGAATCTCCTCCAGGAAAGCCCACCAGAAAGCCCTCAACACCTGCACTGCCCACCTCTTTATCATACTGATGTCTTATCCTCCCTTTCTTTTCTCCTCTCTGACACACCGGTTTGGCCAGGGCATCGCTCCCCATGTTCACATCATCTTGGCCAACCTCTATTTTCTCCTTCCTCCCATGCTCAACCCCATTATTTATGGGGTGAAAACCAAAGAGCTCCGTGACAAAGTGGCTAAATACCTCTGTGGAATATGCTGCCCTGTAGCCACTGACTTGAAACCTGAGTAACAAAAGGGGGAAAGGAGAATTCTTTTTTAATGAAGGGTTTTCAATTCCAGTTTTGCAGGGCTCACTGTTGTGGAAGTTCAGAGTAAGAGATGTTCCTCAGACCTTACATTTTATCACCGATTCATGAAGTACTGTTCTCTATACGGCTGGATCTCATTGACCATCACCTGGTCTCTTTCAGCATCCCCCATTAGACACCACCTCCACACAGCCCTATCACATCAGGCATCAGGAAACTTCCAGACCACCAGAAGATACTGCACCCATTGAGGCAAGGTGGCTTACCACTAGACCCTGTGTAAACAGGGAACTTGATCACGCTGCCAACCTGAGACATGAGACAAAGAAAACAAACATAATGGTAAACCTTATTTAATATATGTATGGTGGTTCAAAACCAAATGTACTTTATTAGTTTACGTTCAATTCTTCACTAAGCTTCAAGCATAAACCCAATGGTTTCAGCTGGCGAGTTATAATATGGGAAAGCGGTTTCAGGAATTGAGAACGTTACATTCAATGACTTTATGGGTGAGAGTTGGGAAATCCTGGGTGTTGGAAAATGTTAGTGTGTTCCTGTGGATTTGAGGGGATGCACCCCAGAATGTGATCAAACATATTTCAACTGTATGATTTGCACTTAGCCACTGTGAATTAATAAAACAGAATACTGCATGGTGTAGGTTTCATTAGAAAGCAGGCTTTTAGAGGTCAGATCAAAATTTCTACTAATGAAAATGGGAGGAATGGACAGACAAGTAAATAAGTGAGAATGAAGGAAGATGAGAAATTGAAATCAATGAGTGAAGATGCCTCAGATATTAGAAGTCTATTGACAGGAGAAATGATCATCCCATAGGAGTCACTGTGTTCTACTTTTTTGGTAAAAGTTATAAAAGATTAGCTAATGCAGTGCACTTTAGATCAGTCCTTTGAAGCCATCTTGAGGGACATTTTTTCCTGACCCCCTATGACTGTTGCAGATGAAAAAACTGGCCACTGCAAACCTGCTATTAATAATTCTGTATGGTTCCAGAAGTTGGGTTAATATCTGGGATGTTCTAAATGTAATGCTTATGTTTGTTTGTGCTTAAATCGAGTACACTGAAGAGTTAGACAAGAACATGCTTACTTGCATTTAATCAGTAATCACACAGAATTCCCATGTTTCCATTGATCCCAACACTGCCTTGAATGAGATAATTAAGTTTTTTGTAATGTGGATTCTGAAAAACCCAGGTGATGGATCATCGCCTGCACATTCAATAACTTCTCACTTTGTGCAGTCAATATAGAAGTCACTTAAATCTTCACATCTCTTGGTATCTATCTCTGACATCTCTGGCAATACCCACTAATACTTCTCATTGCCAGGGATGTCAGATGTACATGTCAAGCTTTCTAAACTTTTCATCTTGGAGTTTGTGAAACAGTTGAACCAGCGATTATTAGCAACTGTCCATGTGACTGAATCACTTGCAGTAGTAAGTCTTTCACCATATTGATTCGTTGTAACCCAATTTTGCCATTATTTTCTGGAGACCTCAGAGAAGAACTGAAGTTTCGTCTAGGGTTCATTAGATTCCTAACCTGGACTTAAGTTCTCAAACACACAGGTGCCACTGGGGAAAGAGGCTTTTGTGACGTTGGCTTATTTTCTCTTCTATCGCTGTTGTTCCCTTTTAGCAACACTTTAGTCCATAGAATCATAGAAGACTCACTCAGCTTGGAATTGATCTCAGGAGTCATCGAGTCCACCCCCCTGCTCAAAACAGGACCAACCCCAACTCAATCATTACAGCCAGGGCTTTGTCAAGCCAGGACTTAAAACCTCTAGGCTGTGTCTACATTGGCACCCCTTTCCAGAAAAGGGATGCTAATGAGACCAGTCGGAATTGCAAATGCCGCGGGGGATTTAAATATCCCCCGCGGCGCTGCCGCTTTTTGCCGGCTCGGGGTTTTGCCGGGGAAAAGCGCCAGTCTAGACGGGATCTTGAGGAAAATAAGCCCTTTTCCGGAAGATCCCTTATTCCTACTTGTAGGAATACAGGAGACAAATCGCTTGATCATTGTCTTCGGTCAACCCTCTCTGGGGTACCTGGTGCTGGCCACTGTCGGTAGACAAGATACTGGGCTAGCTGGACCTTTGGTCTGACCCAGTACGGCCGTTCTTATGTTCTTATGTCTAGGGCTGAGATCATGGACATTGGGGGCATCTCCCCCAAACTTGAATAAAGTCCATGATCTCCATCCCGGACACAAACAGGGCCTTGCCTTCGAAGGGAAGATCCTGAAGCCACAGTAAGGGTATGTCTACACTACAGCGCTATTTCAAATTAACTTAATTGGAAATAGTTAATTTGAATTAAGCTAATTCGAAATAATGCCTCTATCCACAAAAACTATTTCAAAATAGCGTTTTGCTATTTCGAAAAAGCGCGTCCACACTGAGTGGACCCTGAACCGAAGTTAAGGCTGGCTGGAACCAGTGCCGGCAAGGCATCAAGTTAGGACTTAGAACTGTGGCCAGGGTCGACCCCTTTAATGGCTCTGGGGTTAGAGGAGAGGAGAGTAAGTTCTCTTGGTTGTGCCCAGTGTAGCCACAAGGGCTGCCTGGGAAGGGCTGGAATTAAGTGTCTACACGGTGCTTAATTCGAAATAGCTATTTCGCATTTGGTGTTACTCCTCGTAGAAAGAGGGTTACCAAATTCGAAATAAGGGCTCCACTAATTCGATTTTATTTCGAAATAGTGGCATGCCTGTGTAGACGCTATTAAAGTTAATTCGAAATAACTACTGTTCTTCCGAATTAAGTTTGTAATGTAGACATACCCCTAGGGAAATAGTTTGTCCTAATATCCAACCTAGACCTCACCCACTGCAACTTGAGACCATTGCTCCTTGTTCTGTCACCACTTAGAATAGAGCGTGGCTCTAACTTACAGCCACCGAAGGCTGCTATCAAATGGCCCTTCACTCTTCTGCAGATGAACTAAGCCTTGTTTCCACAGCCTTTCCTCTTAAGTCATTTTCCCCAGCCCCCTAAGCATTTTTTTTTTTTTTGCCCAGTGCAGGACTTTCTCTAGTTTGTTTTCATCTTGGATAAAGCACTAAATGATTGTTTTCACAGATGAATATAGAATCTTAGAACTGGAAGGGACATCAAGAAGTCATCAAGTCCAGTCCCCTGCCCTATAGCAGGACCAAGCACATTCTAGATCATCCCTGACAGGTCTGTCTAACCTGTTCTTAAATATCTCCAGTGATGGAGATATCACAACCACCTTACACAATTTATTCCAGTGTTTCACCACCTTGACAATTAGAAAGTTTTTCTAATGTCCAATCTAAACCTCCTTTGCTGCAGTTTAAGCCCATTGCTTCTTGTCCTATCCACAGAGGCCAAGGAGAATGATTTTTCTCCCTCCTTTTTCTAACACCCTTTTAGATACTTGAAAACTGCTCTCATGTCCCCTCTCAGTCTTCTCTTTTCCAAACTAAATGCTTTGAAATTCGTTCATCCCAAAGTCTCCATCTGAGGCAGGGCAGGGTGAAGGGTGTCTGCTCACCCCAAAGCACCTTCTTTTGGCTGCGTGTAACAAGAGAGGCTGTTATCCTCTTTTCTTGAGTAGCAACTGCCTCTTCTTACGGTACAGACCAGCCTCTCAAGCTCAGATGAGCCCATGGCTCTCTCCTCCTGGCGCAGTTCTCAGTAAGTAAGTGGGATCAGTTAAGTCCCATGTTTATGTGAGAGGGAAAGCTGGGGAGTGAATCCAGCCCCCGGGCCGGAATGCTTCCCTCTAATTCTGGCCCTTCTTTCCCTCAGGGAGGGATCTTTGGGTAGATGTTCGGGGGGAGACGCTGCCTTCCCTCAGCTCACCTCCCCGGGAGCTGCTGGCTGCAGGCCTGCTCTCCTCCTGGGCGCGTTCTTTTTAAAAAGGCCTCAGGATGGTGCTAGAAGAATTTTGCTCTGAGCAGGGCACGTACACGAGGAGGCCTATCACAAAGGGGTCACACTGTGGTGGTCCATACAAGGTGATTGAGAGTTATTAATGCTACCCAGCTGGCTGTTCTAATTCATGGTTCAATGGCAGCCTGGTTTGAAATAGTCAGTCCCGTGGGGCCTGTCAACCATGGGGAGGGAAGAAAAAGAAGATTCAGATAAGAATATAAGACTGGCCCCACTAGGTTAGAGCAAAGGTCTATTTATTCCAATGTCCTAACAGGGACCAATACCAAGTACTTCAGAGGGAAAGAACAAACCCGGGATAATATCAAAGGATCCATTTTCTTTCATCCTCCCCTCCCCCCCATCTTCCGGCAGTCCGAGGCTAGGACCTGACAGAACGTGGGGTGGTGTCCCGGAATACCCTGGCTAATAGCCATTGACCGGCCTGTCCTCCATGAACTCAGCTACTTCTCCTCAAACCAGATGGGTGCGGTTAAGAGATCCTATAGTGTGTGGATAAGCCCCATTGTATGACTTTTGACACGGGCAGGGGCGTCGACACCTCGGTGGGCTCCTCGCCAAAGTGGGGGGGCTGGCTTTTTGCTCCCGGAAGGGGCAGGCTGCCCTCCATGCCGCCTGGAGTGTGTCACTGCTCCCCCACTACTCAGAGTATGGTGCCACCCATCCCACCCCCAGCCTTGGAGCTTCTCCGAGTGTGCTGTGTGGTACTCCAGCGGCTATTTAAAAGGCTGCTGCTGCTGCAGAACCAGCAGTTGTGGCCAGAAGCTCAAGGCCCCTTTGAATCTCTGGATCCCAGGACAACCCCTCCATCAATTACTTTCCCCCCCAGCGGGTCTAGACAGAGGTTAGCACAATCAAGTTCCAAATTGAATTGTGAGTGATCCTCAATAGACTTAAGTGTGATGCTTGCCCGATACACGGAGCAGGCTCTTAGAACAGTGTAGAGCTGCCAGATACACATCTACTTTTGTCCTTGCAAAAGGAGACTGGTCAATACTTTGGGGTGCGAATCCTGGGAGAAGATCGCTTTGCCCCAAACCCTTTGGACTGCATCTAATCCAGCATCATGCCATTTGGCCTGCCCA